CCCGTTTTCTATGATTAGCGGTAACAGCCGTGACCAAACCCGCCCCCCTCCCCCCTCCCGTGGTCTCCCACGGGAATGAGCCATTCCGAAGCATTCCTAAACCAAATAGCGTTGGCGCGAATCGTGACGTGACGTGACCGGTCACGCCGGTTGTCGCCAGATGAAAATTAAACTGTCTCTAGTCACCACCCCGCCCTCTTTAGACAAGCGTTCCACTACTTGCAAAATAACGCATTGCAAGTGGCCTGGATCCGCCGCGGGGGATTCACGGTCGATTCCATCGAGACAAGCATGTTTTTGTTCCTCAAGTTTGCGAGTAGGCACTTTGCGAGCAATGTCAACCCGTACAACAAGGACGCACGATAAGGATGCCAGGGCCCTGGAAGGCCATGTCAACACTATACGAGCGGGGCGCAGCCAGCGAAAGCTGTCGAGGGTGGGCCGAAGGAGAAGGATGCAAATGGGAACCTTAGAAAAAAAGCTCGTCCTTCAGTGAGCCCACGAAGGACGCACGCGCCCGATGACGTGCAGGAACACGGCCCCCCAGTCAGCGAGACCAGCCTCGCCACACGAACGGAACGCTCGCGCAGTGCGCGCTCTCGAAACCAGCGTGGACTCATGTGCGTGTACGCCCTTCTTTCGCTCCTGACCCTGACCTGTGCGGGTTGACTGCAGTGGAACAAGCTCGCTGGCGCTTTGCGAGGCGGGGGCTTGTCCATACCCGCCGCCTGGGACCCGACGCCCTAGTGCCCCCGCGGGCGGTGGATGGGGACACACGTTGGCCCCCGGGGGCCCGAACGTGTCCATGTCCACCGCCTGCCGAGGTCCCCGAAAGTTGCCTCCATACTTTGGCCTCCAGGCGGTGGTCGTCTACAAACGTCTCCAAATACTTTGGCCTCGCACGAAAAAGAAGGCTTCAGTTCAGAAGGCCGAACTCGGGGAGGAGAAGGAGGAGGAGGAGGAGGAGGAGGAGAAGGAGGGGGAGGAGGAGGAGGGGGGGAGGAGGAGGGAGGAGGAGGGGGAGGAGGAGGAGGAGGAGGAGGAGGAGGAGGAGGAGGAGGAGGAGGAGGAGGAGGAGGAGAGAGGAGGAGGAGGAGGAGGAGGAGGCCTGGCCGCCCCCGAGCACACACGGCGGGGGGGCGCTGCCCGCGGCAGGCGGGCGCCGCGGCGGGGCGGCGGCCTCCCAGTCCGACAGCCTGCAGTCGCCTGCGCGGGGGGCGCGGCGCGCCGGGCCGCGCGCTCCACGGGCTCCCCCCCCCGCCGCCCTGGGCGCGAAGTCGCGGGGGGAGGGGGGCGATAAAACTGGGGGGGGGGGGGGAGGCGGAAGGTGCCCTTCTCGGGCCCCTCGAGGGCCCCTGGAAGGGGCCCCGAAGGGCCCCTGCAGTTTGGGCGCCCGGAGTGGGTACAGGAAAATAGGGGCACAGTGCCCAGCAACGAGTGTTGCCTCAAACAAACAGCGCGGCCGCTGTTGGGCAGGCGGCCTTCTGTCTCAAGTGGGCACAGGCCGCGGCGACACCGACAGCGAGTGCTGTTCAAAATGAACAAGAACTGCTGTTGGGCATCGTACCTATTCTTTCCGTGCCCATTCCGTTCGGGGCCCTAGAGGCTCCCTGTTCAACGGCCCTCGCTGCCCCCCTCACTTCGGGCCCTCATGGCTCCCAAAGGGACCCTAAAGGGCCTCTTTGGGGCGCCCCAAAAGGCTCCGTTTCTTCAGCCCTCGCTGCCCCTCCGATTCACCCCCCCGCCAATACGCGCCCCCCCACCGCTCCCCCCCTAAAAAACGGAGGCCGGATGAGGACGGCCTCGAGGTCGGGCGAGGAACGGGGCCTCCCCGGGGAGGCTCTCGGGGCCTCCCGGGGGCCTCTCGTGGCCTCTTGGGGGCTTCTTGAGGGCCTCTGCGGCCGTCCTGTGGGCTCTTGGCCCGTCTGTCGCCTTCGGGGAGCGTCTTTGTGGGCTCTCTGGGCCGTCTCGCTACCCTCCTGGAACGCAGATAGAGCAGTCTTGAGGCCCTCTTGGGAGGCTCTTGGGCAGCCTTGGGGTCCTCGCGGACAGGGCCCTCTTTGGGGGCCTCACTGACAAATCGGGATCGAGACAAACTCGGACCAGGACAACATAGGGATAACACCGTACCGGGATGAGGACACGATGAGGAGGGGGGGCAAAAGGACAGCGGCACGATGGAGACAATCTCGGATCGGAGCAAATCGGGAATCTCTGAGGGCAGGGGGGCCTGGAGGATGTATGGGGCGCCGCGGCCGTTCGAGAGCGCTCCAAAACGCTTTGAGAGCGTTCGGGAACGCTCTGGAGTCGCCTGCAGGGGCGGCGCGTTGGCCGCGTTCGACAGGCATCCTCCTCCTCCTCCTCCTCCTCCTCCTCCTCCTCCTACTCCTCCTCCTCCTCCTCCTCCTCCTCCTCCCTCCTCCTCCCTCCTCCTCCTCCTCCTCCTCCTCCCTCCTCCCTCCTGCTCCTCCTCCTCCTCCTCCTCCTCCTCCTCCTCCTCCTCCTCCTCCTCCTGCTCTTCGTCCTGCCACAGCACTACTGTACTCCTTTCCTCTGCCGGCCAGGTGACGTCGCGGCAGCGAGTAAAGAACGGTGCGTGTGCTGCCGCACAGCTTCCACCCAGGCGTTGCAGGTGGTGGGCTGCGCAAGGCGGGAGCAGGGAGAGAGGAACCCCCAACTCAATGAGTGGGCAGAGGAGGCCCGAAACGTGCAGTGGCGTCCAGAGCTGAAGGCACGCCTGAACACACGTGCGCACCCGAATTATCTGGGATAGACCTGGTCCAGGTAGAACCCTGCTTGAAGTTCCCAAGAACGATCGCGGGAAACCCTTGAACCGCCTGACCCATAATAACTCCTGCTGCAGGAGAGTAATGGGCAGCATCTAACTGGGGCAGAATGCGCTGAAGGAGAACTCGAGCTGACGGTAACTCAAGGCAGGTCTGGCAAGAAGACGGGAATCACGAATCCGAGATTATCCCTGACGACCCCCTGCCCTGATAACGCGGGACTCTGACACGCAACGACTCCAGCCCACGACCTGCACGAAGACTACCATGCGCCAGAGGCACGGCCGCACACAACCCGGCCCCAGGCGCGCGCGATCAGGCCAGCGTCGGCGGCTGAGAGCAGCACGATCTGGGTATCGTTTAACCCATCCCCATCCACACTGGCGTGGCCTCGGCCCCACTGGCCAATTGAATCACACCAAAGTGGGGATCTAGACTGTTTCTTTCGAGCTCCGCGGGGCCTCCCTCCCTTGGGGGGTGGGGATCGGTTGAACGGTACTGACGGTTCTCTGTGTTCTCCCACAGTTCTGCGGGCACCTGTAGTCCGAGGAGGGCACCTGCACTCCGGGGAAGGGGTACCTGCAGTCCGGGAGAGGGCACCTGTAGTCCAGCTTGGGGTACCTGAAGTCCGGTTGAGGGTGTCCTGCAGTCCGGGGGGGGTACCTGTAGTCAAGGGGGGCGCGTGCTCAGTCAGTCCCGGCGGGCCTCTGCCGCTCGGCGGGGGTGTCGGCCTCGGGGGGTCCTGCAGCCTCGGGGGGCACCTGCAGCTTCGGAAGGATACCTGTAGTCTGGGGGAGGGCTTCTGCAGTCCTGGAAGCGACACCCTGTAGCCAGGGGGGGAGGGGTACCTGAAGTCCATGGGAGGGGGGAGGCCTGCAGCCCGGGGGAGGGGTACAGGGGAGGGGTACCTGTAGTCTATGGAGAGGGTGCCTGTAGTCTATAGAGTCTGGGGGTACCTGCAGTCCGCGGGACGCAGGTCTGCCCCGCGCCATGTGGGCGCCGGGCGCGGCCCGGCCCGAGGGTCGCGCAGGCGGGGACCAGCACCGTCCAGGGCCGCTCGGCATTCTCTCGGGGGGCCGGGTTGCACTGGACGGCGCGTCAGTTCTGGGCAGCATCGGCACGGGTCCAGAACCGGCTCGGATCGGCTGCGCAAGGATGCGCACCGGCGCCCATGCAAGCCTCGGGCCGCATCGGATCGTCAGAATATCGGAGCCGAATCGGATCAGATCGGGGCGGCCAGAATCGATAACGAATCGGATCGATCGGATCAGCACGAGGCTCACACTGCATGCAGGGATCAGCCACGCTTGATGCTGCGAATGCAAGCCGAGGGTATCTGCCTCCTCCATTGCCACTGCTGCTGCTAGCTCCTCCTCCTCCACGTCCTCCTCCGCATCCTCCTCCTGCTCCTCCTGCTCCTCCTGCTCCTCCTCCTCCTCCTCCTCCTCCTCCTCCTCCTCCTCCTCCTCCTCTTCCTCCTCCCCCCCTCCTCCTCTTGAACTCATCATCCTCATCCCTCCTCGTCTCTCCTCCTCCTCTTCTCCCTCCTCTTCTTCCTCCTCCTCCTCCTCCTCCTCCTACTCCTCCTCCTACTCCCAGTCCCTCCTCCCGTAACTCCCTCTCGATTCCCTCCACCCTTCCACCTCCGTCCCGCCTCCCCCCCCATTCCTCCCTCTCCCGCTCCCCTCCCCCTCCTCCATTGTCCCCGTCACCCCCACCCGTCGCTCTTCTGGAGGCAACTCAGCGGGGGCTGGGCAAATCCCTCCTCCCATGACCCGTCTTTCTATGACGCCCTCCTGCCTTACCCTCCCCGTCGGGTCGATTTATGGTTGCACCAGGGCCCGAAATGAGCTCGCGCTGGCGTCGCGGCCACGTCCAGGCGGCGCGAACTGCACATCCGCCCCTCCATCCCGACAGGGGCGGCCGTCAGGCTGCAGCGCCCGCGACGCCTGGGGAGTCGCCCGTCGAGCACGGCCCCACGTTGCAGCTCGACGTCTCCTCGGCAGGCCGCCCAGGGAGGACGAGGACGAGGACGACGACGCCGACGACGACGACGACGACGGCAAAGACGACGACGACGACGCCGAAGCGGACGCGGACGCCGACGCCGACGCTGACGCCGACGCTAGCGAGGGCGACGGCGACTGCGACGGCGGCGGCGACGACGAGAGCGAAAACAACTACCCTTCACCACAGCACGTGGGCAGCGGGCCTTCAGCACCGCCGCGCTGCAGTTGCCGCCCCGCGCGCTCGGAGTCTCCAGCTGCCGCTCCCGGTACTGCTGGCCTACGCGCGCGGGGGGGGGCTTCCCTGCACGCTGTCGCTGTCCCCCGTCATCGTCGACGTCGCCGCTGCAGTCGTAAAGGTTAGTCGCCGTCGTTTTCGTCGCCGCCGCCTTCGCCGCCGTCGTCGTCGCCGCCGCCGCCCTTGCCGCCGCTGCCGTGGGTGCGGACGCCGCCGTCGCTGCCGCCGCCCTCGCCGTCGTCGTCGTCGTCGTCGTCGTCGACGTCGCCGCCGTCGCCGTCGCCGTCGCCGCATCTTTGGAGTCCCGAAACGGTGCGGTGACAGACCGTGCGGTGACCTCGAGATCCCCCAAGACCTCACCGCACGGTCCGTCACCGCACGGTCTTGGGACCCCGGGGGCCCCCGTCGCCCGAGACGTCCTCGGAGAGCGACCCGAGTCCCGAAACCGTGCGGTGACCCCGAATCCCCACCGACTCACCGCACGGTGTGGTCACAACCTCGTTTGGGGGCCCCCGAATATCGCCGTCGCCGTCGCCGTCGCCGTCGCCGAGGCCGTCGCCGTCGCCTTCGTAAAGAGCAGATCAACTTCCGCGAACCCCCACGATTTGCTTTCGATTTCCTCGGAGCTCTCTGAACTTACCGGGACTGTTTTCGAGTTGCCCCGATTCACCTGGACGTGGCCCGATCTCTCTGGCATGATCCGCGCAAGTCGATGGGAAACAAGTCGTCAAGCCCTTAGGGACGCCTCCTGCTGCACCCCCTCTCACCACTCGGGCGTGGCTGGGAAGTGCCCCTGGCCCAAGATGCCCCCAGCTTTTCGCCCCATGTTGGGCCATCTGGGCCTCGTGAGGGATGCTCTGGAGGGAGGCCGTCTGGGCCACCCCGAGAATACTGGGGGCACATTGGGCCGGGGCACTTCTAGCGCGGTCGAGCCTGGTGACGAGGAGCTGTCTGCCCAGGCGCGACCGTACCTGGCTACGCGCGTCGAACGGGTCGGGGGAGATCTGGTCGGGCCCGAGGTACACGTGGGGTAAGACAGTGTGGGGGGCCCCAGAGGAGCCAGGTAGAGGCCCCCCTTCTCCCTCTCCTCCGCCTCCTCGTCCCACTCCTTCCAAGGGCGAGCGCCGCACCCGAGCCATGCCAGGCGCGACAGCGACTTCTGGTCGGAGCGTCAGCGCGGCTTCGGGCGGGCGAGGTTCGGCTCGCCCGCCTCCTAGCGAGCACAACGAGCGGGCTGCCCTTTTGACAACCCTTCGAAGGTCATCTGGGGGCGTCAGGGTGGCGCCACAAGCTGAAAAGCGCCATGCTTGGGCTCCGGCGCGTTGGCCGCGTTCGACGGGCCTCCAGCTGCTCCTCCTCCTCCTCCTCCTCCTCCTCCTCCTCCTCCTCCTCCTCCTGCTCCTGCTCCTCCCTCCTCCCTCCTCCCTCCTCCCTCCTCCCTCCTCCCTCCTCCCTCCTCCCCCTCCCCCTCCTCCTCCTCCCTCCTCCCTCCCCTCCTCCCTCCTCCCTCCCCCTCCCCCTCCTCCCTCCTCCCTCCTCCTCCCTCCTCCCCTCCTCCTCCTCCTCCTCCTCCTCCTCCTCCTCCTCCAGCCCTCCCCTCCTCCTCCTCCTCCTCCTCCTCCTCCTCCTCCTCCTCCTCCTCCTCCTCCTCCTCCGCTCCCTCCTCCCTCCTCCCTCCTCCCTCCTCCCTCCTCCTCCTCCTCCGGAGGTCGAGGAGGAGAAGGAGGAGGAGGAGGAGTTGGAGGAGTTGGAGGAGGTGGAGGAGAAGGAGGAGGAGGAGAAGGAGGAGGAGGAGATGGAGGAGGACGGGTCGCCTAAGCCCTTCGGAGAAACCCTCCATCCTCCCCCTCCTCCCCAGCGATCCAGTGCATTGATGTGTCAGAACAAGGTCCCCTACGTCCCGACCCTTTCCCTGGGGCTGGCTTCCCATTCGAGGCAACGAGCCCGGCAAGGGGCTCTGGAAGCCTGAAGCGGCGAAAACCTGGCCATTACACATGATTGACATATTGCATCTCTACGTTGGATGTCTAGGTCAACATCGCTCTCGCCCGTGGGCCCTTGCCTTCGTACTCAAGCCGTGGCACTCGCTCACTGCTGCTCCCGCCGCCGCCCCATGATGCCACAGTCAGGCGTAAGAGCCGCCACCACAGTTGCCGCCGAAGTCAACGTCGGAGTCTGCGCCGCCGACGCGGTCGTCGCCGCCACCGCAGGCGAGGCCAGCATCAAATCGCGATAGCGAATCCGATCTGGACATGCAGCGAGTGCCATGGTGTGCACGAGAAGCTGGAGTGCTTCTGGTCACCTCGCACCCTGTCCGCACAAAGACTGTATAGTCGGCAGTGCCGGGAGATTCACCAGGAGGGTCGCGACTGACCATGGGGATCGCCATTGGACTTGCCGCGAGATCGGGCCGCTTCGGATCGGATCGGCCCGGCCGCGCCACGATGCACAGCAGCGCCGCGCAGCGGGCCGCACCGGACCGCCTGCTGGCCGTGCGCGCCGTGGCCGCCGCTCACCCACGGGGGGCGGCGGTGGGCCGGGGGCGCCTCCAGCGCAGCTCCTGGCGGCGCACACGAGGGGGCGGCGCGCGGGGGGCGGCCTGCCGATGACGAGAGGGGGCGACGCACATATAGTATAAGTATGTTGGGGTGTTGCCGAAGAGAGCCTGGGGCGTCTCTTCAGAAGGGCTCTCCTCGGAGGCTGGGGGGGCCTCTGAGGAGGCCGCCCGCCTGCCCTGAGATCCGACGTCGCAAGAGATGCAGCAGAAAGGCAAGTCACGGCCGGAACACTTCACCCCAGCTTGCTGGCCCGAGCCCGGGCGAGGAACGCAGGGCGCGGCAGAAACTCCGACGCCAGGAGCTCGGGGCTCTTGCAGCCGCCCCCCCTCCCCCACCGCCTTCTCAGAGGCCCCCTTTTAAAACCTCGGGTCGGACGACAGGGAGGGAGGGAGGGAGTGCGGGGGGCACAGAAGGGGGGGGTAGAAAAGGGAGGGTTAGCGAATCGGCCAGCGCAACTGGCTTTCCCCGCGCCTCCCTGCGCCAGAGGCGCCACAGCCCGGAGGCTGCGGTGAAACCAGCTGCGCGCAGCAGAGTTCGTAACCCGCCCTGTGGCCCCCCTGCCGGCCACCTGGCGACACGCCCCAACGTTGCGAGGTGGGGTTTCGCACATCACCATCGCCTGGGGGACAGACCTCCGGGGACCTCGGCGGGCGGTGGACCTGGATACGCTTGGGACCCACGCGGCCCACCGCGTCACCGAAGCCCCCGAAGATCGATCCCCCAGGCGGTGGACAACGAGTCGAGCCCCCGCCCCCGCCTCCCAGACCCCCGACGTCCTGATTTTTTTCATGACGCGCCCCCGAGAGGTCCGGACCCATCCACCGGGACCGGCTTTTCATCCTGAGTCGGTTCCTGACGGTCCCGAGGGCCAGTAAGGGCCCCCATGGGCCGAACATCTGCAAAAACCTTCCGTCGTGATTTTTTCATGCCTCGAGGAGGTCTGGGCTCGGACCCGCGCGTGCCGCCAAATCCTGGTGCAGTCGCTCCACGCCGTCCACTCCCCGAGCAGGCAGTCGACGGGGCCGCCTCCGCGCGCGGGCGCCCGCGCCGCCGCTCTCGGGGGCCGCCCCCCCCCCTCGGCCGCGGCGCGGCAAGGGGAGCCAGGCGAGCCGACAGCGGAACCGAGACACGGCCGAGACCCACAGACCGCAGGCCCAACGTGTCCCCAGGCGTATGTTTCGGGCCGGACGAAAAGGGGGGGATAGGGAAAGGGGGGGGTACGCAATCTGCTGCGTGCAGCTGGTTTCGGCCCCGCCGCCGGGCCCTTTCCTCGATACATGGGCGCCTCCCGGCGCCGGGAGGCGCCGGGAAAATCAGCTACAAGAGCTGATTCTCACCCCCCCCCTTTGCTATCCCCCCCTGTCGCCCGGCCCGAATGTTGCTCCCGTCGTACTTAGGGACCACATCCCAGAAGTAATGTCGAGCACCCCGGACAAGTGCCGAACCAGTGTCGAGACAGCGTCGGGACAGCGGCGGACGAGTGTCTCCCAGGGCCCGACACGTGAAAGCCCTCAGGGTTCGGTGCTTTTTCTGGTGCTCGACATTCTTTCTGGCGATCAAGGCTGAAATAGGTTGGAACATCATAACCCCAGGCCCACGGCGTCTCTGGCCCGAGGTGTCCCCAGGATGCCCGAGGAGGCTGGCCCTCGGAGCACCCACCACGAGTTCCAGAGGGCCCCGGGGGCTCCGAATTGGTAAAAAAGAAAGCCCGGGGGGCGTCTCGCGGGCCAGGACCACTTCTGGCAACACCCGACCCGGAGGGGCACGGCGACGAAGAGACAGCAGATTGACAGCCAGGCCCAGCCAGACTGGCCGCGACCGCAACCGACTCCAGCGCGGGCGAACCGACCGAACCGCGGACGCCCTAACTTACTGCCATCGTGATACCAATTAGAGGGATCGATAAGAAAGGAGCGAGCTTTGCTGGCCACGATTGGCCTCTGCCACGAGCAGGCTCCCCGACCTAGGCCTGAGGAGCGGCATGAAACCCAAAACCCCCCTAGAACCCAAAGTGATCCTCTCTTCAGCGAGTTGTCTCTATTTCTCCCCATGGCCTCGTCTCTGTCATCGCAGGGCCTCCTCCTCTTCCTCCTCCAGCTCCTCTTCCTCCTCCTCCTGGCGCGTACCTGGGGGCAGGGTCCTGGTCCTTAATTAGTGGCCTGAAGCATGCTGGGCCTCAGCGCGATGTAGCGCTGCTCAGATTTGCGGTAACAGGTTGAAGGCTGTGGCCTGACTGACCGCTTCTGCGACAACCGACGAGAACAGGTGATGATAGAGAATGGTGGACGCAGCGAGCGAAAGCAGAGCCCTCCTCCTGGTTCCTGGTTCCTGGTAGCTGCGAGGTGCCGTGAACGTAGCCTCCCCCCCAGTGCCGGTCGTCCCCGGGGGGGGGTGATCAGACTAGGGCCAGACGACCCCTGGAGCCCCGCTCCAAGGGCCACCGGCGGTGCGGTAGAGTATAAGAAGTACCAGCTAGGAAATCACAGACAGAGGTCGAGAAGAGGACAGGAGGCGGAGGAGGGATCATGATCAAACGAGAGAGGGGGCGAAAGGGTTGGGGTGAGCAACGGCGTCCAATGTTGGAGTGGTGCGATGGCGGCAGCCCACCTCCCCCTCCTCCTCCTCTTCCTCCTCCCTCCTCCCTCCTCCCTCCTCCCTCCTCCCTCCTCCCTCCTCCCTCCTCCCTCCTCCCTCCTCCCTCCTCCCCTCTTCCTCCTCCCCTCCTCCTCCTCCCTCCTCCCTCCTCCCTCCCTCCCTCTTCCCTCCTCCCTCCTCCCCTCCCTTCTCCCTCCTCCCTCTCCTCCTCCTCTCCCTCCTCCCTTCTCTCTCCTCCCTCCTAACTCCTCCCTGCTCCCTGCTCCCTCCTCCCTCCTCGTCCTCTTAGTGGTATAAGTCTTCTCCGTGTTCGTACTATTCGTATACGTCTTCTGCTTGGTATTGTGTTTCGCAGTGTTCAATTACTATTAATTTAGTAATGTTAGTATTTGCCTTAGTACTTTCAGCTCTGAGTGATCATATGAGTAGTCGATGTAGTCATACGATTACTCTATTAAACGTATTAGAGATCGCAGCAGTCGTCGTATTATCATTACTCGTATCATTAGCATTATTCGTCGCTATATTGTTGGCTGTATTCGTCTCTTACTCTTAATAAGTGTCAGTATTATTGATAGTAGTCGTAGTATTCGTATGCTTCGTCTTCGTAGTCATATTATTACATTATTAGTCGTACGTTGCATTACTAGTCATATGTTGCATTATTAGTCATGCGTACGAGTCATTCTTATTCCATTATTAGTCATATGTTGCAGTTACTTGTTGTCGTTCAAAATAATATCATGATTAGTACTGCGATTGCTATTCGTATCAGTATTGCTGTCACGAACCCAAACAATAATATTACCAAGACTATGCTGATGATTAATAGTTCCTATTATTGCAATTACTATTATTTGAATTAATACGATTCCTCTTATTCGTATTCCTCCTCCGCCTCCGCTGCTGCTTCCGCTGCTGCCTCCGCCTCCGCCTCCGCCTCCGCCTCCGCCTCTGCCTCCGCTTCCGCCTTCGCCTCCGCATCCGCCTCCACCTCCGCCTCCGCCTCCGCCTCCTCCTCCTCCTCATCATCATCATCATCCCTCGCCATCGTCGTCGTCGTCGCGTCCCTCATCCACAGCAGCGCGTGGACAGGAGAGGGGAGAGGGGCACTCTGGGGGAGGCCCTGCGCGGACTTCGCGCGTGGGCCGGTGGAGGCACCCACGGGGAGGACCAGAGTGGAAGCCTCGACGGACGGACTCCTCCCCCCGCTTCGGAGTGGGAAATCTTCTGACACGGATCTGACCCGGGTCAGGCAGGCCTTGCAAAATCCTGCAAGATCCTGCACCCAAACCCAGGTCAATGCGAAGGATCCCGCAAGATCCTGCAGGATCCTGCTCCCAAACCTGAGTCAATGCGACCCTGGCCCCGCAGGATCCTGCAAAAGCGGGCGCTCTGGCTGACCCCACCCCCGTCTCAAGGCTCCCGGGGGTGGGGGGGGGCCTCTCCAGCATTCGAAGCCACGCCCCCTGGAGGCCCCCACGAGCCAAGGGCAGCCATGTTCCCGCGCCGCGCTTCGCGAAGCGCCCTCGTGCCGCCCCTGCCGAGGAGAGACGAGCAGCACGAGGAGGACGAAGGCGAGGCATCGCGAATCGCGCACAGCTTCTCGCGCCCTCGTGGTGGCCCTTGAGAACGAGGGGCCCCCGGGCGTGCCCCCTGAGAACGCCATGGGCGAGAGTTAGGTCGGGCCTGTCACTCTACAGGGGGATGTTGGGGGAAAATATTTCAAATAGACAAAAAATACTCGAAACATGCTCAAACATTGTCAAAAAATCGTCCCCAGACTATTTTTTTACTATTTTAGAATGTTCCCTCTGTAGAGGGACAGGCCCGACTTAAGGCGAGAGCCATGCCATGTCCATAGAGGAAAGAGAACTATGCACATACACCGAGTCTTGCCAGGCCCACCCTGAGCCCAGAATCGGTGCATACGCCCTCCTGCCTTGGCCAAGAGGGCACAGGCACCGATCCTGGGCCCCGGATGGGCCTGGCCAAGATCGGTGCATGTGCATAAGTCCCTTCGCCCGAGTCCACGTCCACGCCTTGACAATCCGGAACCCTCGGCCGCGACCCCGTGGATACAGGGCGGCATCGGCACGGCGAGCCTCGGGGGCCCCACGTGAGGCCGCACCGCCGGTGCCTCCGCGAGGCGGCGCCATCCTCCGACCCCACCTGCCCAGGCGTGCGACGTCTTGATTGTTTCAACGCAGGGTCCCTGGAAGTCGAGGCTAGGACGAGGATAGAATCGGGTGGGGATAAGTCGGGAATCTCTGACATCCGGCTTCCCTGGAAAATGTCTCTCGGGCGCCGCGGCATCCTCAAAGCTTCCCGGAACGCTCCCAGAGCGTTCCCGAACGCTCTGGAACGACTCTATCCTCGTCCTGGCAGCGCCCGATCCCGAGAAATCCCGAGCCTTTCTCGAGGCCGGCTCCACCTCCCGAGCCGTGCCCTGCCCACCCCGGGGCCCCGCGAGGGCCCCGGAGGCCGAGGACCGAGAGAAGAAAGCCTCTGTCTGGCAGGCTGGCTTCTCGCCGTGAGCACGGCGGCGAGTGCACGCTGTGGAGTGCCAGGCCCGCCACGGGCGGAGTGCGTGCTCGCCATCGGGAGCACGTCGCCGACCTAGCGGCGGTGCGTCGCCGATCCCAGGTCGAAGCCCCCCCCCCCCGAGCCAGAGGAAACCTCTGGCTCTGCGGGGATCGGTCACCAAGCGGGAGGCCCAGGCGGGCGGCGGCGGCAGGCGGGGGCGGGGCGAGCGGGGCGGCCCTTCGAGGAGAGCACTCGGCCTCTGGGAAGCCTTGGCTGCCCTGCTCGGCTCCCGAGGGGGTCAGCTCCGGGGCCAGCTCCAGGGCCAGCTCGGAGTAAGCTCAGGCCAAGCCCTCTGAGAGGTCCGCCCTCATCGGGGGCGTACTGGCCTGGGCCGGTGCAAACCCAGGCCAACCAGGCTGTGCAGGATCCTGCAAGATCCTGCACGATCCTGCGGGATCCTGCGCGCTGAGGGCCAGTGCACCCCTGTCTCTGTAGGGTCCTGCAAGATCCAGCGCCCTGGCTGAACACCGTTCGCGTCGACACCACTCTCAAAGCTCCCAACCTCACTCGGGGATCTGCTAACCCGGGTCAATCAGAACTGGGTCAGCAGGAAATCAACAAACTGTAATGCAGGAACAAACAACTGCAACGCGGGGCTTCGAAAAAACCTGGGCCAGCCGATGTGCGCGGCCGCCTCGCGGCTCGCTGTAACCTGGGTCAGGCAGAAGGGGTCTTCAGAGGATCCTGCAGGATCCAGCGCCCTGGCTGACCCCCGTTCGCATCGACAACACTCTCCAGGCTCCCGACCTTTGAGCAGGGACCGACCGTCCTGCCATTCATATAATTAGGCCTACCACGACATGTTCTTAGAACCCACAAATGTTCTAAGACCAAAAACAATGCTCTTAGAACAGAAGCCCGACGCGTTAAAACAAGACAGACCCAGCCAGAAATGTGCCAAGAACAGTTCGTGGAAACCGCAAGAGGTTCCAAGGACATGGTCCTTGGTAGGCCCGTAGGCGCGCCAGGGAGGTGGGATTCACGTCGTCCGGGACCTCCCGAGCGAAGTGAACCCCACACCTCCGGGAGGTGACCTCCCCCCTTAGAACTCGTGGGGTGGTGGGGTAGGGTTCGCATGTGGCCACCGAAGAGAGCCATCGCTGGGCCACCTCAGCCCCCGAGGCAGCTCCACCCCAGGAGCATCCATGGGGCCGCGGCCCCGGAACCTGACCTCCGAGGCCGTGGACGTGGGAATGTCTCCCTACGCCACGAAGGTACAGTGGGCATGCCTCCCTAGGCCACGACAGTACAGGAGCTCGACCACAAGAAACCTTCCACGAGAAACCCGCGGCTTAGACCCCCAGGACGTCCATTGTTTTGTTGATGTGGGAACGTCGCGCTTTCCATCGCAAAACCATCGAAAACCAAGAAACCCAGGGCACCATGGGGGAAAGCAGGGTGTTTTACACACAGACACCTGCCGACTGGTGCTCCCTGTGCCATCAAGAAGGGGCGGCGGTGCATATAGAGAACTGATGGCCCGCGGCTGTCAACGAACTGTGCACTGCCACCCTCCGCATGAGGCCCAGGAGCAATCCACTAGAGAGCGTCTGTGTACTCCGAACTTCTTATTGATCAACCGGGGGGTGACAAACGTGCACACGCGGCGCGGCCCACCACCCCCCCCTGGGCACCAGGGCGTGGTGCATCACGCGGCGCGGCCAACCCCGCGCCCCAGCGGGGAAGGGAACGAACCCCAGACCCCGCTGGAATTAGATCGGATCTGTCCCCTACAGGGGGATTTGGACGGAAAAACAAAAATACCCTCAAAATATTCCAAAATGGTAAAAAATGCTCCAAAAATGGTTCCCATACTTTTTTGTAAGTATTTTGCAATGTTCCCCCTGTAGAGGGACAGGCCCGACTTAACCCTGGCAACCACCTGGGCGCGCCGCGTCTAACCCCCCCTGGCACTCCAGAGGGGGAGGCGATTATCAAGCGACCCAGAATACATTTTTCGGGCCGGGCGAAAGGGGGGGATAGCAGAGGGGGGGTTTGAGAATCAGCTCACGTAGCTGATCTTCCCGGCGCCTCCCGGCGCCGGGAGGCGCTCATGTATCGAGGAACGGGCCCCTCGGTGGGGCCGAAACCAGCTGCGTGCAGCAGAGTTCGTACCCCCCCCCCCTTCCCAGTCCCCCCCTCTTCGTCCGGCCCGAATTTTTGGGCGGGCCCTCCCGCCCCGCGGCTCTCGGCGCGCCGCCCCGCGCCCAGCGCTGCGCCCAGCTTGGGCGCTCCACCCCCTGCGGCGGCGGGGCGCCGACGAGGCGCGGCGAGGCACCGCTCTCCGTGCCGCCGAGGGGCCGCCGAGCCAGACCGGCGGCCGGCGGCGCGCAGCGGGCGCGATATGGCCCGAGGGCGGCAACTGTGCACAGGACGGGCGCAGCAGTGCGGCCTCCTCGCTGGAGGCCAGGAGTGGTGGGCCTGTTTTCCACCGCCACAACCACCATAGTTAAGTAGGAGGGGGAGGGGGTCCTCCTCCTCCTCCTCCTCCTCCTCCTCCTCCTCCTCCTCCTCCTCCTCCTCCTCCTCCTCCTCCTCCCTCCTCCTCCTCTTCATCCTCCTCCTCCACCTCCTCTTCCTCCTCCTCCTCCTCCTCCTCCTCCACCTCCTTCCCCCCTCCAACTTATGGTGGTGGTGGTGGTGGAAAACAGGCCCACCAAGGAGGGCGCATGCACACCGATGGCCCTGGGTCGCCAGTGTGTTCACGGGCCCTCCTCGCCAGGAGGCCCAGGAGGGCGCATGCGCCGACGCTGGGCCAGAGGCACCTGCGCCAGGACAGGATGTGGGGCACGCACTGGTGTACCGGTGCCGATGCTCCCTGGGACCTCTCCCGGGGCGCGTTCTGACCAGGCTTTTGCGCGGCGAACCCCGCCGTGGCAACGAGGGAATCGAAGCGGTATCGGTGCCTTTGCCTCATCTGACAGCTTGGCGCCCTCGGAGCTCAGTCCAGCTTCTCCGCTGCGGCGCCGCCGCCCGCGCGGCGGCGCTTGCAGCCGAGCAGCGAGAGCCAGAGGGCCACGACGCCCATGTTCGCCTCGGGCGCCCGCGGGTTGACATCAAGGCGGATCGGATCGGGACGTGCAGCAGGATCGGGCCGAAGGAAAGCGCGGGGGGAGTCAGATCGGATCGGCCCCCCGCCAGGATGCACAGCGGAGACGTGCGAACATCGGGCCACATCCGTTCGTCGGCATCTCGGAATCGAAGCGGCTCGATTCCGAAGCGGGTCGACCTGGGCCCCGGCGGGCGGCGGAGGAGGCTACTGATGTGGAATCAAATTGCAGAGGCCCCACACCGAGCGGGATTCGTCCAGACTGTGCCGAATCAGAAGAAGTACCAGGGCCGACGATCAACCTCCCAGGGGCTGCAGCCTAACCTCTCCTCACATGCTGCGCCCCGCGGGGGGGGGAAAAGAGTTGGAGCTCAGTGTGGGGCGCGATCCGTGTGAGGGTTGTGCCGAAGCAGTGAGCGAGGAAACGCAACAGGGACTCCTCCACGGGAGCCGCAGGTAGAGCCCGGTATGGGGCACGATCCACAAGAGGAGTGTTCTAAAACGGGCGGGCGGACGCAATGCACGAATCAATAGTCGTCGTGCTGCCGCAGGGAACGCTGAAGAAGGAAATGAGGGGCCCTCCTAACCACGGTGAGCGTCGACCATGACTAGGTTGCACGATAGGGACCCTCTGAGGAACGGCCCGAAAACCAGAGCCGCTCCTGAGCTTAACGGGGTCCTTGTCTCGGCGTCTTGACGGTAGGGACGCCCCCCACAGGGGCCGCAGGTGGAGCTCCCAAGAGGGCAAGATCCGAGTGACGCGTCTGCCGATGGCATGGGGACGAAAGGGGCGCTCAACACCTCTGGCGCAGGATCCACGTAATTCAGAGGGTGCCGAGAAGGACAGGCGGAGAGAATGGTGGGGGAGGAGAAAGGCGGAGCAAGACATGGAGGGATCGACAACGGAGGCGAAAGGCGGAAGGAGGAGGGGCGGAGCGAAGAGGGAGGGAGGGAGGAAGGGAGGGAGGCAGGAGGAGGGAGAACAGAGTAACACGAGTGGGGAAAACGGGGAAGAACCGGCGGATAGACTTTTGATTGTTTGATTTGTAGTGTTTTAGAATACGAATAATGATAATGTCATTCGTGTTAATAATGCTATTAAAACTGCCATAATACGAATACTTTTAATAATACTAATACTATTAATAATACTAATAACCATAATAATGATAATAACATCCATAATAATACGAATAATAATAATAGCAACAATGAGAATAGCAACAATTATAACTAGTACTAACAATACTTGTGAGAAATATCACCAACACAAATGATAAACAAAACACGGACGAAACAAACAAACAAAACACAACAAAAAAACAAATCCTGGGGTTCGACGGTCCCTCTTGCTGGGCCCATGCTCGCCAGCGACCACTCCCAGTCTGGCCCGCATCCCACGTGGAGGCACGCGTCCATGTCCTGGCAGCAACACAGGGGGCGCACCACACTGCTCCTCCTCCTCATCCTCCTCCTCCTCCTCCTCCTCCTCCTCCTCCTCCTCCTCCTCCTCCTCCTCCTCCCTCCTCCTCCTCCTCCTCCTCCTCCTCCTCCTCCTCCTCCTCCTCCTCCTCCTCCTCCTCCCTCCTCCCTCCTCCTCCTCCTCCTCCTCCTCCTCCTCCTCCTCCCTCCTCCTCCTCCTCCTCCTCCTCCTCCTCCTCCTCCTCCTCCTCCTCCTCCTCCTCTCCTCCTCCTCCTCCTCCTCCTCCTCCTCCTCCTCCTCCTCCTCCTCCTCCTCCTCCTCCTCCTCCTCCTCCTCCTCCTCCTCCTCCTCCTCCTCCTCCTCCTCCTCCTCCTCCTCCTCCTCCTCCTCCTCCTCCTCCTCCTCCTCCTCCTCCCTCCTCCTCCTCCTCCTCCTCCCTCCTCCTCCTCCTCCTCCTCCTCTAGAAAAGGGCCCGTCGAGCGAGACTCTCAGGAGCTCAGGAGGGGGAGGGGACATCGCCAGGATGCAGGCGACGGGGCCCAGCCGCAAGTTCCTCGGCAGGGTGGGCGTTCGGGCCCCAATCGGCGACGAATGAGCGGCTGGGGCCGATGCGAACGGCAGAGTAAACGATGGCAAGACAGGCCGGGCGCCACTGGCTGAGTGTGGCAGTTCTTGGGTTGCTGTCCAGGGATGTTGGGATTACCCCAAACCTACTTGGTCCCAAGGCCCTCGTGTTGTTTGTGGATTCTGTTCGGTTTTAGCACGAACTCTGTGTCAATGCTACAATACTCGTCAGGCTGGCTCGTGAAAGAACGGCTGGCCAGTGTGTGCAACTCTTGGGCTACTACCCGTGGGACAGGAGGCAAGAGGGGAAGGTGAAAAGGAAGGGGTATACGTAGTCATACCTGCAAGTATGCTAGAATTGGTTGGTTGAGGCTGGCCTTGAGACTGACCTGTGCAAGAATCTGGTACAGACTGTAAGCGATGTTCTTGCAAATGTAGAGTACCTCCTGAGGAGGTAGGGCTTGAAATTCTCTTTTCGTGGGCAAACTGCTCACGCGTCCTCAAGTTTCGGCTGTAGCCTGTGGTTAAAGTGTGTTGCTGTGACCTGACAAAACGGACAAATCCAATCAGTGTGCATTGTGTGGGCTGCTACCCTTTCCTCCTCTTCCACAAACCTCCCAAGATGTCCCCCCTTCCGTCGTGCAGTCATACTTGCAAGTGCCCGAACACCAGGCTGGTTAAGGCTGGCCTGGAGGCTGGCCTGTGCAAATCTTGGTACAGGCTGTCTACATTCTCTATTTCTGCTGTAGAGCACGTCCAGCAGTAAGCAAGATCGTATTCGACGTCGAGCCAAATGTAGCAGTCCTTGGGGTGCTGTTCAGGATTCGATGGTGTACCCCGCACCATAGAGGCGGTGTAGGTCTGCTCCACCACCGACATTCCCACTGATCCGCCCCAACCCCCATCCATCCACAGGTATCTGCTGAGAGTACTGGCGGCAGTAAGCAAAATAGTATTAGACGTCAGGCAAAATGTCTTCTCCTCCTCCTCCTCCTCCTCATCCTTGTCCTCCTCCTCCTCCTCCTCCTCCTCCTCCTCCTCCTCCATCTCCTCCATCTCCTCCTCCTCCTCCTCCTCCTCCTCCTCCTCCTCCTCCTCCTCCTCCTCCTCCTCTCCTCCTCTCCTCCTCCTTTCTCGCCTCCTCCTCCTCCCTACGCGCGGACCAAGACGAGGCCGGGATCACGACCCGCCCGAATGCAGATCATCGGAATTGCGCTGTTCCTACATGCAGCCTTCCTGCTGCGCTGTTGCACAGGCCCGCTGGCGGGGGTGGCCGCAGGCAGCTGGAGATCTTCCTCCCCCCTACACAAGCTGGCTAACAGCTGCGAGGAGAACCAGCTGCGTGCTATGCGCACCGACCTAAGTGGGAGGGTCCGACCGCGCTGTTTTCTTTCTCGCACACCCCCCGGGCTCCCGCAGAAGACGACGAGCACCACCTACCAGAAGAAGATGAAGCTGCATCAACAAAAGCTTGCGGAGCTACGCGCGGAATCCTCGGATCTGCGCTGGGCTCCCTCCCTGGCGCGCGGAACGCGCCGGGGATGGCGCCGGGGGCGCCGCCACGGGGTCCCAGCGCCGACCCAAACAATCCTCGCGGGCCTCAGAGAAGGTCATGTCTAAGTACTTCGCCTTCTTCTTCGGACCTCCACCACCATGACGCCGACGACAGCGACGGTACTCACGGCAGAGGCGACGGGAGAATGCAACGGGCGCCAGCCGATAGACGACCGACGGAGGTCCTGTGCGAGGAAGGCGAAGAAGGCCGCGGACGCGCCTGAGGGGGACCGAAAACGGGGGATCAGCGCGGAAGGGGGGCACACCGGCCCGGAATCGGCGACACGTCGCCAACAGACGGGCCTCGGGGGGGGGGAGCACCAGCCTGGAATTGGCGATACATCGCCAAGAGTACCTCTCCAGAGATCCGATGTGCTGCATTTGTTTAACACAGGCCGCCAAGAAACCCCGACCCTTGGAACGCGGACCGCATGACACCCCGAGCCCTTTTTTGCTGGCCTCGAGGCCCAACAAGGGCCCGCAGGGTCCGAAAACTGCGACAAAAACCTCCACATTGTTTCTACGTTCAATACCGGTGGGACAAAAAAGGTACCGATAACAAAAATGGGGCAGAGAAATCTTGCGGGCGCTCCCGCGGGCTCTCGCGCGCTCTCGTGCTTCCCCACGTGATTTTTCCAGAGGCCCGAGGGCCCCTATGACAGGCCAAGAGGGCCCCAAGAGGCCCCGAAGACAGCCCAAGATGGCCCCGAGTCGACGAATATGGTTGCAAGACGCCCAAGATTGCCCACAGATGGAGAACAAGAGAGGCCCCAGAGGGGGAGCAAGGTTCTTCAGGGGGCCCAAGAGAGGCCCCAGAGGGGGAGCACGAACCGACCTTTCGAGCCCTTCGCCCAAAGCTGGCCCGCAAGACCGCCAGCAGGCCCCCAAGAGCACCCCACAAGCTCCAGGAGGCCCCCAAGAGAATCAAATCAGGCCCCGGCAGACCTCCAAGAGATCCCCAACAGGCTACCAAGACACCCAAAAACCGAATCCAAGAGGGTTCCGAAAAGCCTCCCAAGAGATCCCCACAGACATCCCAGAGGCCTCGGACCTACAACCCAGGCACGGGGCGGGATGGGCCGAAGGCCATCAGATGTTGACAGCTATAGTGTTAATTATGAACCACGTCTACATCGCAAAGCGGGGGGGTGCTGGGGATTCGAAAGGGGCGTGCCAACCCGTGACGAAAACCTTGCCCCGATTTGTGGCCGCCGCGATCGTTGCGGCGACCTCCAGAAACCGACCCGGAGGCTTGGCTGGGGGTCGGACATCACGCAACGAACGGCGGCGAGGAGTGACTAGCGGTATGGGTACGTTGTCCTCCTCTGAGATACAATTGACGTTGGAAAGAGAACATGCAACATCGACATCCGAAAAGCGCGCTATCCCTGAAAGGCGATCTCGCCGCGAGGGCCCCGTCTTCTGTGCATGTCATCCCCCTGCAAGGGTAGCTGCGTCATCTGAGGCCGGACGCGGCCCGCAAATGGTGAGCGCAGGGGATGGGCACGCTTGTAGCTCAGCCGCCTTAGGGTGAACGCTACGCTCTGGAGTAGTGCGCACGCGGGCACGGAGAAACCCGCAGGCGCCTCGGGGCGAACGTTGCTGCCTTGCCTCTCTTCCGCCCGTCGGAGGACCTGCCTCCGTGCAAAGGCGCTTTGAGTAAGTGAACGTTCGGGCATGTCTTTGTTTTTGACGAACCAGCAAAACACACGCATACCCACGGGGGGGTCGGAGATGGCTATGGGTTGCGTATTGTCGGATGGGGGTCCCCGCTAGAACGGGAGCGTCCCCCAGGGTCCGACTGCCCGCGCCCATACCCACAGCCGGTCCTCCTCCCAACAACCCCCCCTGTGGGTGTGGGTGTGTGCTGCTCGTTCGTCATTTCGTCCGTTGCGCAACGCCCGAGGCCCCCCCCCCCGTTATCGCCGCCGCCAGGCGCCCCAGCAGGCGAGGCACGCGCACGCAGCCGCGCTGCCCACGCGGGGCGCCCGCGCGGCCGCGGCCGCCCCGCCCGGCGGGGCGCGGCGGCAGCAGGAGCGCAGCCTGCACGCGTCCTCGAAGCACTGGCTCCGCCGTCGTCGCCTTCGCCGTCGTCGTCGCCGCCGCCGCCGTCGCCGTCGCCGTCGCCGTGGCCGTCGCCGTCGTCGCCGCCGCCGCCGTCGTCGTCAGCGTCTTCGTCGCCGTCGCCGTCGCCGCCGCCACTGCTGCCGCGCCGCCGTCATCGCCTTTGTGCTCCTCGTCATCGTCGCCGTTGGCGGGGGAGGTTCGTCAGCGGCTTTCTGAGGCCCTCGGCGGCGTTGGGGTTCGACGCGGACTTCGGGGGCATTTGAAGCCTGGAAGGCTCTGAGGGCCAGAAGTTTCCTGGCACCTGGGGGCTGAGAGGGGGCAGGAGTAGGGCGAGCAGAAGGAGGGAAGCAACACGAATGATATCGGGGGCGCGCAAACATGGATTAGCGATCCACGGATTCGGCGCGCGGCCGCCAAATCCATGGATCGGGGGTGGCGCTCTCCCCAGAATGCGGCCAATGCCGCCTCGCTCGGCGGCGGAAATCCGCGTTTTTTCCATGGAGACGGGACCCGTCGCCAATCCACGCCCCCTTGATCTCCAGGAGAATACAAGCAGGATCAGAAACAGACACCCACCTGGGCCACACTGCCTGCGGCGGCGTCGTCGCCGAGATGGCTGCCAGGGATCGGGCGACGGCAACCGCCCACGTGTGCGGTTCTGGCTGGGCCTGGGAGGATCGGTGCATCTGCCCTTCATGGCCTGGCCTGGAAGGCGCGTGCACCGAGCGTGGGCTCAAGAGCAGGCTGGCCCAGAGCGGCGAGGTGGTCAGCTGGCGTCGCCCCGAAGAGATGGGCCAGACAGGGGGATGGCAAGTCTAAAATTAGGTTGGGCATGTCCCCCATAGAGGCGGATTTTGGACGAAAACTGAAGAATAGTCAAACCATATCCAAAAATGGTCAAAAATGGTCAAAGAATCGTCCCCAGACTATTTTTTCCTATGTTTGCACATTCCTTCTGTAGAGGGACAGGCCCGACGTAAGTCTCGAAAAGCAAGGGGGACAATTGGACGGAGGCTGCCAGAAGTGGTCCTGGCCCAGGGTGTCCCCAGCTTTTCGCGCCATGCTGGAGCCCCTGGAGGCCCTCTGAGCCTCGCAGGGAGGTACTCTGGAGGCCGTCTGGGCCTCCTCTGGGCCAGGGGTACCTCTGGCAACACCCGAGATTAGAAAATAGTCTTCCGCCGCAAGGAAAGATTTTCGGGAGGACGATCCACGACGCTCAATATGACGGCACCTACGCCCGCGAGCAGGGCCAGAACCCAGCGCATCAATGATTGACCGCCCAGAGCCAAACAAGCGCGCTCCACGACTCGCAGAGTAACTACTCTCGCAAAGGGCATGGATCCGCCGCAGGGGGTGCAATACCTATTACATCGGGGCAAACATATGCTGTTCAGAAGTTTGCGAGTAGGCACTTTGCGCGTAGCGGAGCACGCTCGGTGAACAGAAAATGCCGCGGTACTTTTGTATTTTTCATCGCCACCATGCAGCAGGGGGAGTTTGCGAGTTGGGTGCCGACCCCCCCTGAATCTGGACAGGGGCCAAACCGCTCAACCCAGAGCAGGCGAAATCTGCAGATTTGTGAAATGTGTTGATTATGGCGCTGAATGTCTCGTCGTCTCGGGTCCCTCTGGGGGCCGCATCAAATCCACAGATTGCCATATTATGTTGATTCGGGACGTGTACCGACACACTGAAAATCCAGAGATTGCAAATTAATCTGTGTACGTGAAACGGGGCCACGGGATCCGAATCGCCAGGGGGGCGGCTATCATCCACACATTGAAGGACATTATGTGGATCCGCGACGGAGTCCCAATCTACAGGTTAACAAAAATTCTGTGGATCCACGACGCAGGCCTGATCCACAGAATTTCAGAATCTGTGGATTTGGAACAGGTCGGGGCCTGAGGGGAAGCGAATGACGAGGGCGCCCACAACGCGCAGAATGGCATAATCTGCGTCCAAGATTGCGCTTGTTTTGCGGCTCTCCAGAATGACGGGATTTCAGGCCCCCACCGGCATCCAAGTCGCGAGTCGGCTCAAGTTACTGCTTCTCCCGTCCTGGCGCGGGGAGGCGCCGATGTACCGAGGGAGGGCGCCGCATCGGAAAATCCATTATCCATATCTTACTCACTCCCTGTCCCTACGTCTACCGCCGATCCAAGAAATCCGCCCAGACCTCCGACAAACAAAGTATGTTAACGGGTATCTGTTTTGTCGACTCGAGCGATCGCGGCGTTTTGGGATGGGGCAGATCGTTCGAAGTCGGCCGATGCTGGGCCACTGGCGGCTTCCAACATTCAGCGCCCTCGGTGGAGTCGCCGCCGAATCGGCGCCGCCCAGACCTACAAAGCGGGCATGAAACAGGCGGGTCCTGAGGGAAACAAGTTCTTGACCCTGAGGGCCTCCCCCGTGACCAGTTCCTCATCCTGAGCAGGTGTTCGACGGCCCCTTGGGCCGGGGGAGGGCCCCAAAAGCCAAGTAGCTAAAAACCTCCAGGACCCTCGGGTCCCGTCCCCAGACATCAGATGTCTTGAATGTTTAGCGCGCGCTCCCTAGAAGTCCCGACCCTCTCCCTGGAGCTGTGTCATAATCCCGGATCGTTGACTGACGGCCCCGAGGCTCGGCCAGGGCCCCCAATGGCTGAGAACTGTAGAAACGAAAACTCCATGCGTTGGAGGTCTGGGTCAGTATCCGCTTGCCTCACGGCGAAGAAGAAGAGTACAGGGGTCACCGCGAGGGGTGCTAAGGAGTTACAAGTGGATGCTAAGGTGAGTTTTATGGGGCGTAACCTAGCTGATAATGGGTTACAGGTGCTCTGAAGTGGCCCAGGCGGCTTCGACAACTCCGCTAAGTGGGTGGAGCCCACTTAACACGTACGTTTAGCCCCCCCCCCATCGCCACGCAGGATACGTGCGACCCACTCATAAAGCTAGGGCAGGCCAGGTACAATTCACCTGGACGACGACCATAAAAAGGGGTCTCACGCAAGATGGCATAGCGAACTTACGCCGCGGCTTACGCGGGCCGCCAGCACGGCACACCGCATTGGAAGCGAGGGCGCCTTGACCTTACGCGGGCAGCTTCAACGCCAATGCCCGTGCAGACGACCCCGTTGTTTTGCGTCGCTCACCTTTGCATCCTCACTCGCCTGCTAGTTGGGGTCAGACTTCTGGGGGCCAGAATCAGCGAAGGGCGAACCAAGGAAACACATATGCTACACATGCTAGCCTGGGCGAAGAATCCCACCAGCCCTCTGGGCGTAAGTGGTCTAGGGAGGTTCCTCTTCCAACCCCCTTTTTCTTCCCCTTCGGGGAAGGGTTTACCCATTTCCCTACCCCCTACCCTTGGACCTGGACGGGCCGTTTCGCGACGCGTTGGGGCGTTCAAGATGGCCCAAGATGGCTCCAAGATGGCTTCAAGATGGCCCAATATGACTCAAGATAGCACACGATCGCTCAAGATGGCTCCCAAGAGAGGCCCCAAGACCGCCCCAAGACGGCTCCAAATGGCCACAGAGCTCCCCAAGGAGGCCCCGAGTAAGACAACATCCTTCTCAAACCTAAGGAAAAACAGTGTGTTTGCCTTCTCGCCTTTTCGCGTCAGACGGCATTCCGAGGCCTCAATACACTTCCAAGAGAGCCCATGAGGGCCCAAAGAGAGGCCCAAGAGAGCCCCAAGACGGCCCCAAGAGCGCCCACGAGCGCTCCAAAATCGCCTCAGGCGGGGCCCACGAGGTGATGTTTGGGGCTCCCGAGGGGGGCGCAAATTAAGGACCCCCCCCCTTCTTTGACCGATCTCCTCCAAGATGGCCCCAGGAGCGCACCTAAAGCTCCCAAGAGCGCCCCAAGTAAGCCCAAAGAGGCGCCCAGACGGCCCCAAGAGGCCTCCAAGAGGCTCCCAGGAGACCCCCAAGAGGCCCCAAAAGGCTTCAAGAGGATCCCCGAGGCACCCAAGATGCCCCCCAGGCGCTCCAAGAGGCCCCCCCCAGGCACCCAGGACGCCCAAGAGCCCCCCAAGACCGCCAAGAGACCCCCAAGACGTCCCAAGAGGCCACCAAGAAGCGCCCAAGCGATATCCTAAGAGGCTCCGAGAGGCATCCAAGAGACCTCTTGCCCTTTTGCTCGCCCTCCTCCTCCAACTCCTCCTTCCTTCCACTCTTTCTCTTCCCCCTCCTCCTCCTCCTCCTCGTCATCATCACCATCACCATCACCATCACCATCATCACCATCATCACCATCATCACCATCATCACCATCATCACCATCATCACCATCATCACCATCATCACCATCATCACCATCATCACCATCATCACCATCATCACCATCATCATCATCATCATCATCATCATCATCATCATCATCATCATCATCATCATCATCATCATCATCATCCATCATCATCATCATCATCATCATCATCATCATCATCATCATCATCATCATCATCATCATCATCATCATCATCATCATCATCATCATCATCATCATCATCATCATCATCATCATCATCATCATCATCATCATCATCATCATCATCATCATCATCATCATCATCATCATCATCATCATCATCATCATCATCATCATCATCCCCACTCCCTCATCCATCCATCCATCCAGCCTCCTTCTCCTCCTCCCTCCATCGCACGGTTCGGCCGTCCACCTCTTTGCTCCTGCACTTCCCTGTTCACCTCAACTCGCCTGGACATCGTTTCTGAATGGGCTGATGGGGATAGGCGAAACGTCTAGAATTTTCCAAAAAGGGAATTGCCTGGAACAGGAAACAGCGTTGCATTAGCAGGCGAAGGACATCCGCTCAGTAATCTTAGGTCGGGCAGTTCCTCCTACAAGGGGATTTTAGACGGAAAACAAAGTATAGTCAAGCAAATGCTCGGAAAATAATGAGATAGTAACAAAATCGTCCCCTGACTATTTCTCTACTATTTTCGAAAAATCCTCCTGTAGATGGACATGCCCGACTTAAACGTAATCCCAGCACGCGGAGGGCTGCCGCGGCCCCGCGCGCGCGAGCGTCCAGCAGGAAGGGCACGCCGGAGAGCGCGCTTGCCAGGAAGAGACAGCCCGCGGCCCAGCGGGGCGGCTTGCCCTTGAAGGTGACCGCGATCCAGTCCGCTGGGCCCCCGCGGCGCCGGAAGGCTCTTCGAGGGCTTCTCGTAGGCCTTTTCGCCCGTAGGCGGGGGGAGGGGAGACCAGGGTGTGGGGGCCTCTGCAGCAAGTCCGACCAGACTCGGCCGTTCACTGCTCTGTGCAGCTCGGTCTCCTGCCGGGAGGGGCCGGGGGTGCGGGCCGCAGCAGGCCACACATGGAAGGCAGAAGATACCCCCAGAAGGATCACCCCGACGAGCGAAGCCGTTTCGTGAAAGCACCCAGGGAAGGAATCGAACAGGGCAGGGCTTCCAGTGAACGCCCAGGGCCGCTTTGTAAACGCCGATTGTCCGGTGCGGGTGGGTTTTTTCCTCTCTTGGACAAAGCACTTGCAAGCGCATGAGTGAAGCATTCCGTTGGCTTTATACCTGACCAAGCGAACGTGATTGGTCGAATCGATTGAGTTCCGTCTGCCTTGGGCTTGCAGGGCGCAGGCCGAATATGCTTAAAGGATGATGGTCTCATTCAACTCGCACATCTCCAGCCCGAGCCTCACAAACCTCAGAAGTCCCCACACCCCGCGCATCGTGAAAACACCCGGCGGGTGGTGTTTGCTCATGTTCGGCCTGCGGGGGCCCTCACCAGGACCGGGGTCCCTCAGGAAACAACTCGAGACGAAACTGGTCCCAGAGACTGGGTCGAGAAATCTGGGGGCCCACGGCAGGCCCGAACCTCGAAAACCTCCGCCGCCCTCAGATATCCGACGATACAGTCAACCAGTATAGTAAGGATGCTCGATAAGGATGCAAGGGCCTTGGAAGGCCATCTCGAAGCTTTTCGAGCGGGGCGCGGCCAACGAAAGTGGCCAAAGATGGACACAGGACGCAAGGATGCAAGGGAACCCTTGGGAAGGCCGCCCATCGTTACTATGCGGGGTGATTTTTTCTTTCCTCGGCAACGAAAGCACAACAACGCGGGGCCTCTTAAACGCGACCCGGGGGCGTAAAGCCCACCAAAACACCTGGTGATGGCCGAGCGTCTAATGCACACAGTGGTGCCAATCATCTAATCAAAAGTTCCGCTGAAGTGCGCTGCCTGCTAAAGTTGCTCAAGCTTCTTTCTAAGGAGGGAGGGGAGGAGGAGAGGAGATGGGCACGCAGTACAACAGCCCTCCTTGGAGCCTGCTTGCTGGACGCAAGCGCCGTCCAACAACAAAGCGCCGAGGGACTCTCCATCGAGACCAAGTCGAGGCCAGCAGTGGAATAATTTTTGAAGGATACAAGTGTGCTCCATACCTGCAGAACCCAAGCTCTGGCGGACAATCGGAGATCAGAAAGGGGGCCGGCAGAGGAGAACAAAACAAGGCCGCCTGCGCGATGCTCCATCGCAGAGGCAGGCCCACGCCTGCAGCGCCCAAGCCCTGGCGGATCAGCGGAGGCCAGAGGGGGGCACAGCAGGGTGATGCAACCGCAGAGCCCGGTCCCTGGCGGACCATCGGAGGCCAGAGGGGGGCACGGCGGCAAGGCTTCGGACCCGAATGCGCCTGCTGACCCAAGGCCGAGGAGAGAAGGGGCACGCGAACACGAGTGCAGGGCAGGCTGCAGACTGCGACATCGAGAAGCACGCACCACTGAATACCAGCCTCCAGCAGAAGCCGCCGAAAAATCTCGACACAGGAGGAACAGGAGGAGGAGGAGGAGGAGGAGGGAGGAGGAGGGGGAGCGGGAGGAGAAGGAAGGAGCCGCTCAGAAGCATTTCCTGTGAACGATGGTGGGGCCAGGCTCCGAGAGCCCCAAACGGGCGGCGGCGGTCTCTGCGGAAGCTATTCGATTCAATACTGAAGTTTTTTTCCCGAGCCTCGCGAGGGGCTGCGGGACGCAGCAAAACATATCCCCCCGAAGCATTACCAGGCTAGGAAGCGATATGACACGCACTCCTCCTCGGCAACTGTCGCAAACCGACAACTGGCGGAAGACACGGAATAGCGCTCCAGCCCACACGGTACTATCTCGTTTCTCAACCCGCTCCAAGCTACGGTCGGCGTCCCGATGCCTGGCCCTAACAGGTCGGCTACGAGCTGCACGATACACGGCTACGCTCTGCACGCGGAATCATCGAATCATCGCAATCAGTGAAACGAACTGCTGCTACCTCACTGTGCCCATGCCTTGGTAGACCCCATTGCGAACTCCAAGGTCACGGGCAGCCTCTTCACAAGCTCGTGGTGACGAGCGGGATCCACAGCCTTTGTCAGATCCGCTACGTTCTCTGCCGTCGGCACCTTCACGGCGCGCACTTCCTTCTCGCAACTTTCTCCTGCAACCACAGGTGCTTCACGTCCAGGTGTCTACTGCGGCCGACACCCAACCTCGAGCATATCCCGATGGCGGCCGCGCTGTCACCACACACATTCACTGTCATCGCGGTGCCCATCTCCTCGAAACGGTTCTTCGCGAAGATCCCCCGCGCAGCGCCGTTGGTCATCTCAACGCACGCGGCTTCTGACCAGCCGCAGGCGTCGCCTGCTGACCAGCCCAGCTGTCGACGCACGCCTCCCCGATGCACTCGAAACCTCCGCCACGGCTCCTGCGGGTCACTTCATCGCCAGCCCAGTCCGAGTCCGTCGCGATGGCCACCTCGCTCGGCAGCCCCTGGCACTCGAAGTTCCACATCATCTGCGGGTGCGTCGCCAAGTCGGCAGCCAACCGCTTCAGCTCCAGCTCGTGGACCACCAGTGGCTCCTGCATCCCCCGCATGATCCAGCTCGTCGCGAACTGGACGTCAGGCCCCGCCGCCAAGTACAGTGCCGTCGGCGCCGCCGACTGGAACAGCTTCTTCTCCGCGTAGCCCAGCTTGTCCAACGCCGTTGGCACCTCCTTCCCGATGTTCTTGGAAGCCGGCGAGATCTCCCTCGCCGCTGGCAGCTTCCCGCAAGCCTCGAAGACGGTCCTCGCGCGCTTCGCGTCGCTCTCCCAGTGGACCCCCTTCTCTGTCCAGCTAACCGTCCCCTTCAGGAAATTGCAAGACGTCCCTTCACCTCCAGCTGCTCCAGGCCCAACGAACGGCGACCGCTTCACCTCGAACTTCGCCTCCAGGATCTCGCAAAACCACCTCAGGTCCTCAAGCGCACCCACGGCCATGAAGTCGTCTCCGCGCACCACGATGTAGATGCCCTTCAGGACGCGGTAGAACACCATCGCCGTCACCGGCATACGGATGAAGCCCCGATCGATCAACGTCCCAATGACCTTGTTCTGGAACAGCTTGCTTGGTCTCCTGGTTCCGCACAGCGCCTTCAGCCACTGCCACGCTACGTTTGGCCCCTCCTCACCAGTGGGCGGCAAAACGTAGACGTCCTCGTCCATCTCAGCGTGGAAGAACGCGTTGCTGATGTCCCAGAGCCCTATCAGGTAGACCTTCTTGTGGTTCCTGAGCGTCGCTGCCAGCGCCAGTGCCAGCCTGGCGAACTTCAGCGGGGGCGCCCCAGCGAACGCGTCATCGCGGGCCTGGTGAGCAACCTGCATGGCCACGAACCTGCACCGCAGAGTGTCGGCGCCCACCTTCCAGTCCTGCAACCACTTGCCCCTAACGCGCTTGCCCTTCGCCTCCGTGACGCGCGCCCGCTTGAACACCTCATGCCCCTTTCATCTTGGCACGCTCTCGAGCTCTTCCTTCTCGCACCTTCTCTGCTGGTAGCAGCTGTCCAGAGAGCGCCCCCTCGACGTTGGAAAAGTCATTTTCCTCGTACGGCTCCGCGGCGTACTCGCCAAGGTCCACCGCGCACAGCTCCACCGGCGTGGCGTTGACTGCCAGCCCGCCGACTACGCGCGCCTTCTTGCTCCCTGGCTTCTCCTCCTTCTCTGCGGCCAGTCGCTTCACCCCTTCGGCGATCTCCGCGGGATCCTGCACCATCATCTCGACGCTCTCCTCCTCATGGTCCATCGCCACGTCTTCTGCTGTGCTGGGAGCTGCTGCTGCGGCCGCTGCTGCTCCACGCCCTGGCTCTTCTGCTGGCGCACGCCTCGCATGCCTCCTGACCGCTTCTCGAGCTCTTCAGCTCGCGCCCCAGCCTGCGCGGCCAGGCCCTTCGCAGTGTCCTCCACGTCCAGCGTGGCCCTGCACCCCGCAGCGCGGCACTGGCCCGTCTCGTCACAAGCTGGGCAGCCAGGCGCCCGACCCAACCGGTTGAGAATCCCCTTGGTCAGGTACCTCGGCCTGTCGATGGCCTCCTGGGCCAGGAGCGTGGCCTTCGGGTCGAAGGGCGCGCAGATGATCTGGCTGACGAGATTTTTGTTCCACCGCTCCTCGCCAGGCCCCCTGGCGAACGAACTCGCAAAGACCCGTCCTCGAGGTGTGCCGATCATGTGCTCGTCGCTGACGTTCGCCTTGCCGAGCCAGACGCCATTGTCCCACCTGGCCTCCATCTTCCCAGCGGCTCCTGGGGGTAACTTGTGCATCGCGGTCTCCGCGAACTCTGCGATCTGCCAGTGGTGGTCTCGTCCTTTGAGCTGTCGGTGCGGCGTCAGGCCATCTTCTCTCACGGTAAACCTCGTGAGGATCCAGCCTGCGCGCCTCGCCCGCCAACTGCTGGTCGGGTCACTCGGCTTCAGCTCCGCCTTGTAGCGCGCATTGACGGCGTACACGAGCGCGCGAATGAGCTGCTGAACTCTGCCTCCAGCCGCTTCGATCGGGCCCTTGGACTTGGAGTCGAACCTCGGGCAAACCTGCAGCACCGCCTCTTCGCCTCGCGCAGCTGCTGCCGCTCTCGCCGGCGCCGTGATCGCCATCTCCCGGTCACTCGACACCACCGCGCGATTGCGACCCTAGCACTGCAACGCCTGCACCAGGGCCTTGATGCCGCACTCAACCGCGCCCTTCCCCATGACGTTCGCACTCTCGATAGCCGACGACTCGAAGTCCAGGAAGACCAGAAGCGTCGTCGCGTCATCGGTGCCCTTCATTCCTGGGAACGAGTAGTCGATCCAGACCTGGGGCGCGCCCCTCTCCTGGCCCGTCCCGGGG